TCTAGTGGGTAGAGATGCTGTTAAACATGCTACAATGAGCAGGTCCCTACAGCAAAGAATCATCTGTCCTCAAATGTCAGTAGTGCTGAAGTTTAGAAACGGTGGATTAGAGGGACCCAAGATACTTCTAGCAAAGAGGAAACTTCATCCTTAAATAAAGGGTACCGTTTGTGGAGCACCTGGGTCTTTAATTTACATAAGCTCATGTAGCCTTCATGGTCATCCTGCAAGGGAGTTGCTGATAGTCTCCTTTTACAGGGAAGTTTTTAATATAATTTTCCCATAGCGCACACGCTAGCAAGGCTGTCTGGCGGCAGAGCCTGTATTTTTCCACACCTCAGAGCCTGCAGATACTCAGTGACATCAGAGGCTAGTGTTGTCTTACTCGGCTGCCCTCTAGTGTGCAAACTATGCAGACACAGGCCAGTGTCGCTTCCTTCAGGCCTGGGCACCAAGAGGATATGGACCACTCTCCTGACCCCAGCATCTGGCCATCTGGGATATGGAGCCAATAAAAGGAAACCCCATACTTGCAAGCACTTATAAAAACTGACCACTCTCCCACTTGCCCACTTTAATGCTAGGGGTGGGGACTGAGGACAGGAGCTTCCCTTCCTGGTGGACCCAACACACAAAGTACTGCTTGCTGTCTTTTGAGTCACAAAGAACAGCCATATGCATGACTTTTGGGGATGTTCACATCACAGGATTAAATGAGAGGAGAATCTTGTTTTGTAGGATCTGGCACTTCACTTCCCCCCTCTGTTATCCTAGATTAGTGGACGGCAAACTCACTAGTCAACAGAGCCAAATATCAACAGTACAACGATTGAAATTTCTTTTGAGAGCCCAATTTTTTAAACTTAAACTTCTAACGCCACTTCTTCAAAATAGACTCGCCCAGGCCGTGGTGTTTTGTGGAAGAGCCACACTCAAGGGGCCAAAGAGCCGCATGTGGATTGAGAGCCTCAGTTTGCCGACCACGGTCCTAGATAATAAGGAGCTCAACCGGTCAGATAAATCTATGCTAATAAAGGAAAAATAGAGGACTTCCTGTCCACCCCATCCCACTCCACTGTGGGAATTTCAAGTTCAAATAGAGGAAGGAGGGGGCACCTCAGCCACCTAGGAAGGTTGCATATGGGCTCCCTGAGCCCTTCATACCATCCACTTGGAAGGCAGCCACCCACTCCTAAGGCAAACCATGTTGGTTCGAATCATCTTTAGGTTTGAGATCAGATCACAGAGCCAATGAGCATTTCTTTGAATTTTATTGAAAACTGACATGGACATTAGAAAGGTATCAAGCTAAACAGTGCTGGTTTGGGGATGTTTTTCCTGGTGAATGAAAGCCCCAGAAGGGCAGTGAATGGTCACACTGTTGAGCAAAAAGAACAAAGGAAAAGAAAGGAAAAACAAACACGGATTCTGGAAAACATGCAAAGAGGCTCCCAAGAGACACTGGACAGTGGGATGGCGATGGTTGTAGGGCTATATGGGAAGGAGCACACTTACGTGGTATTTTGATGCAAGTTAAACCAACAAATTCAAGGCAGATTTATCAACATCAAAGCTCTCCAGCCAGATCCCAGGTTGAGCAGAAACCTCTCTCAGAACCCCAGCTAGCCTTGGAAGGTTGAATGGATTAATTTTGCTATCACTAAGCTTAAACCCCCTCCCATCTTTCCTTTCTCAACTGGTCGTTAAATCCATGCTAATAAAGAAAAAGTAGAGGATTTTCCCTCTACTTTTGAGTGTTAGTGGATCCATTTACCCCTTGGTGGGGGTCTGCAGAAGGTCTGTGAATGCTGAAGACGATACAAATGTCACTTGACTTTCTCTTCCATATTCAGAAATGTTTACTAGTGGCTGTAGACAGTCAACCCACTGAACCGGAGAATTCATGTTTAAAAAGAAAAACAAACACTCAAACGAAAATTTGTGAATGGCACTTCCGCACCCACAGCTGAGGTCTCCTGCCCCAGTCACTTACACTTGGGTGAGTCATCCTGCAGTTGTCTCTCTGAGGTTACACTTGGTCCATTCTCCAGCTCTGACGGTTCTTTGCCTGCCTTGATAGGCTAGGACAAGACACTTCTATTTAAAATACCATGTAAGTCAGGAGAGAGCTTCTTGCCTGGACACAGGGACACATGAACACTTGCTGAGTGTGTAGTGTGTGTGTGTGTGTTTGCACACGCGGGTGGGGGGGGAGGGAATTGGTTGGTTTCTGGTTTGAGACAATGTGGAACCCTAACTCTTCTATAATGGCAGTCTTCTCCTTTAGACTTAGTGCAGCTGCTGAAGACAAGATTAAAAAAAGCTGGAGAGGGAGAGAGAAAGAGAAAGAAAACATGAAATTAGCCAAAGAAAAAGGATATTCAAAGTAAGACAGGGCGAGGGGAAGGGGCAGTGTGAGGCAGAACAGATTATACTTGCAGAAGACAGGCTAGAAATGGGGTCACTGATGGACCATCACCACCCGGAAATCTGTTGATAAGGGTTTAAGAACAACACACACCAGTTTAAAGCTTCTTGTTTTAATTAAAAAACAAGCACACATTAACAGCCACGTGGGAATACCATATGATTAAAACGGGAAACAAAAACAAAAACTAAAGTGATCTGCACTGCAGCTAGGAAAAGCAAACTTCTTGGCTTAAGAAATGAGATGTGTGCGTGTGTGTGCACACATGGGGATTTTTCAGGAGAGCCGTTCCATTCCAGAATGGAAAAATAAAAGCACAGACCATTTCTAATGACTGGTTTTGTATCACCAGAAGTAAACAGAGTAGTTAGGGTATTTTTAAAAAACAGCAACAGCCTGGCCAGTGTGCTCCAGTGGTTGATCATCAACCTATGAACCAGGTAGTCACAGTTCAATTCCCGGTCAGGCACATGTCTAGGTTGCTGGCTCGATTCGATTGCGCAGGAGGCAGCTGATCAATGATTCTCTCTCATCATTGATGTTTCTATCTCTCTCTCCCTCTCCCTTCCTCTATGAAATAAAAAATATTTTAAAAAATAATTAAAAAATCAAACACAGCAACACTTTTACTAATTAGAAAGCCTTTTCACTGAAGGGGGGAAAAAAACCTTTCTGTCTTACAGTGAGAAAACTACCATTAATCAATATCACCCCAATCAATGCCATAAGATTTAAAAAAAGAAAGAAAAGTATACAATAAAATAACGATTTTAATTTTTCTCAATGTGTTAACTTCCTGAAGGCGTTATGATCACTCACAGGTTAGATTTTTGTTTACTAAACTTTCTTGATTATGAGCATCATCTAGGGCACCAGTTAAACATATGCATGCCTGGGCCCCATTCCAGACTTCTAGGAAAGCTGACCAGCTAACAGGTGCTGGTGACCCCTTCTGCCAGCAGAAGCACTCCCTGCAGGAGTTGCTCTGGGGTCTTCAGCTTTGCCCGCCCCTATCTATCCATCCTTGAATATTTTTCTATGGGAAAAAAATCTCAAAGGCCTTCTAAGAGCAACTATGCAGTTTCTCTGAGCATCAAAGACCTTGTCTCAGCCCTAGCTGGTTTGGCTCAGTGGATAGAGTCATTGGCCCGCAGACTGAAGGGTCCTGGGTTCGATTACAGTCAAAGGCACATGCATCGGTCCCCGGTGGGAGGGCGTGCAAAAGGCAGTCAATCAATGTTTCTCTCTCATCATTGATGTTTCTCTCTCTCTCTTCCTTTACCTTTCTCTCTCAAATCAATAAAAATATCTAAAAAAAGAAGAAAAAAAGAAAAGAAAAAAGAACTCGTCTCCAGAAACATGAACAGATTGAAGCCCTTTGTGAAATGGATCTGGAGTCAGGAGACACTGAGTTTGGCCTGGCTCTACCAAGAAACAGCACTGGGACCTCTGGCAGGTCCATTCATTTCTATGGGTCTCAGTTCTCTTATGAAAAAGTGGGGCCTGACCGGTGTGGCTCAGTGGTTGAGCATCAACCTATGAGCTAGAAGGTCGTGGTTCCATTCCTGGTAAGGGCACATGTCTGGGATGCAGGCTTGACTCCCAGTAGGGGGATTCCACTCTGAAACTAATAAAAATATATCTTAAAAAAAAAGAAAAAGAAAAAAATTGGTCATGTCTGTCTTGTGGACCAAAATTTCTCCCCTGATACAAAAATTCCTGCCTAGGCTCTGAAGGTCTTTCAGGCTGCATGGCTTAAAACTTTTGAAGTTTTCAGAGCTCTTCATGCCTCAAGTACTTAATCTGTAAACAAATGCAAACGAAGGGGCTCTATTTGTGACACAAATAATTACCCAGAGGGGATAGAAACCAGTTGGTTGTTTTAAGTTTGGTATTTGTGCAGAAGCATCTGTGAAACTGGACTGGGAACATCAAAGATGCACTTAAGAAGCCTTTCTCTAAAAGGCTTGACAGCCCTAACTTAGCATCTCTATGATCCACTGGCTGAGTATCCAAGTTCTTTTTTTCTTTTCTTTTTTCAAACTGCTAAGCATAGAGTCTCCTAAAAATGCTCCATGAGACTTGGATTTTTCAAGAAACTAGTTTAAGCTTTGGCAGCAACCCCTTCCTTTTTTTGCCTGTGGCCACTAACAAATCAGTGACTCACCAAACAATACATATCAAAGCTGTACTCTTGCTTAACCAACAAGAAAAGGTAAAGTGTGCATATGTTTGCTTTTCATTTTTTCTCTTTTCGCTTCTGCTTATCTAGTATTGAAGATAGAAACTCTCTTCCCACGCTTAACTCTTCAAAACGGCCTATTCGACATAGCCTTGATAGACTGTGTTTCCCTCAAAAATACCCTCAAAAAGAAAAAGAAAAAGAAATTCGTGGTCAGTGCGGGTGACACTGGAAGGCAGAACTCAAAAAAAGAGGTGATGCTTGGAGGGGAAGAACATGGTAGGGGCAGGGGACCCAGCTTCCTGGCACCGTGAAGGAAAGCTGTCAGTTAAAATAGGAACTTTGGCTTAAAAGGCTAAATGGAGTCCAGTCCAGCTGTAGCCGGGAATACTATTCAGTACACAGCCATAGATTACTGCAAAGGAAGGGCAGAGAAAGGGCGTGTTAGCCACAGAGTATTGCCAGCTCACCTCCAGCTCTCACTCTCGCACTGGCTAAACACCAAAGGCCACTGTGCAGGACAGTGGAGCACTCTACTTTAAAGGGTTTCCCAAAGCCATCACCAGAATTAGGACTGGAATATGTAAAAAATATCAAATCCTTAGACTGCAGATAAAATTAGGGACCTTCTGAGGATTAACACTTCTTTTCTCTTCTCCAGCTGAAAGATCCACGTCTTCTCATTGGGGGGGTACATGCAAAATACAGATTAAAACTCATCACATTCACCAAATAGACAGAAAGACTCATCAAAGCAGAACTGAAAACATTGATTCTTTGAGCACTCAGTTTGACAGTTTCTGATAAGGGTTATTGTACCTGCTACTGGCTCTGCTTTTGGGGGATGGTGTGGACCCAAAAGGAGATTACAGAGGAGATGCCCAGACACCTCAGAATTCCTTAAGCCCATCATTCAAGACACTAGGCAGGCAATAATATGCAGGTTTATTTCCCCTTCTGCATCTGTGGGGTACTCAGAGTTATAGGGAAAGGAAATTTATGCTATTTTCTTCAGCAGTCATTTTCAGGGGTGCGGGGCAGGGGACTTGGTGTAAACTTATTCTGGATTTTTAACACAGCTTGGGTACAGTTACCTTGGGTGAATCAAACTGGAAAGGGCTGGGCTGGGGGACCAAAAGGAAAAGGCATCAAAGGATCTCTTTCTGGAGCCCCCTGAGAAGGAACTGTGGCTCTGTTGGGAGGTGGTGGATGCTCAGGGAGGCCCAGTGACTAGGGGCCAATAGGGAAAGCCTTGTTGACTGGTGCTTATCCAGCCACGGCGGATGCAAATACTTCGGGGAAGCAAGCAGCCATCAGAGTTCCAACAGGGAAACTGGTGGTGGAGAGTAGCAGATAAAACCCCTGAACAAGTTACACTATGGCAAAGTTGGAGATGGGGAGGGACTGGCTGGGAACACTAGGAGGGGAAGTGGGATGCAGGATGCATCTCTAAGCCAAAGAACTGCCGGCTTCTTAACCAGAGGCCAGACACCATCCTCAGATTCTCAGGCTTCTATAAACTGGCAGGAAGAGAGGAGAGGGCACGGGTTGTGTGCCCCGGTCGTGGTAAGGGGTAAAGATAGGGAGGCCCAGCTCTGTTGTGCAGGAAAAGTGCATCTACAGGAAGCCCAAACTGAAAATGAAAAGAGAAGTTGGGTTAATGAATGGGTGGATTAATATACCCAAAATAAGAAGGTTAGAAGAAAACCGCCATGGTGACTAGTAGACAAATTAGAATATATAGCTATGTTAGATGGTCTTAAGGTTCTATATTGCATTGGCTCCTGGGAACATGCTTTCTCACCCGTACCTCTGAGTGACAGCAGTAGTGGCATTAGCTAGCAAAATAATTGCCAACAGTCTCAAGAAGACATTCTCTCCTTAATTACTAGGTCCTGACTAATGTCCCCCACCCAGACACCTTGTGCAGGAATACCTTCAGCAAATATCCAGGTGGTCTCAGGCTCTCAGCTATTAATTGCCTTGTCCCATAGGGGAAGCAGAGGAGGTTGAGGTTTCACCTCAGGTAGCCTTTGGAGTAGTCCCAGTCAACTAAGTGCTACCCTGGGACAAGTGCTGTTTGAGAAGTGTCTGGTTCAAACCACAGTTATCTGAAAAACTGAACTACGGAAATCCATTATTGGTTTGTGTTCACATAGCACTTTGACCTTTTTTGTTTTTTTTTTCATTTAAACTTCGTCCTTGTGACATAAACAGGGCAAGTAGTATCCATCCCCATTTGACATATGAGGAAATTGAGACACAGGAAAATCAACTGTCTTGCCCAGATCACAAAGAAAAAGATGCAGCCAGCCGAAACCGTTTTGGCTCAGTGGATAGAGTGTCGATCTGCGGACTGAAAGGTCCCGGGTTAGATTCTGGTCAAGGGCATGTACCTTGGTTGCGGGCATATCCCTAGTGGGGGTGGGGGGTGCAAGAGGCAGTTGATCGATGATTCTCTCTCATCGATGTTTCTAACTCTCTATCCCTCTCTCTTCCTCTCTGTAAAAAATCAATAAAATATGTTTTTTAAAAAAGAAAAAGAAAAAGATGCAGCCAGAAATAGAGCCTGAAACCCTTGGTTGTTTAATCACACCTCAGTGTCCCTGAAAATGCCTTGGCTGTGAATCTAAGCTCCTGTTTTTTTACCTGAAGAATATATTTATTTCATTAAAGACTATTAGATATTTGGGAGGATAGTTAAAAGCATATATATACATGAGTATATACAGTCACTTTCTCAGAGTGAATACATCCAAACACTTCAACACCACACACACACACACACACACACACACACACACACACACACAGGAATAACCATATACACTAAGAATTTGGAGTTCTACATTCTTAAATAGTTTTTAAATTGATTTCAAGGAGGAAGGGAGAGGTAGAGAGTGATAGAAACATCAGTTATGAGAATCATTTGATCAGCTGCCTCCTGCACGCTCCCAATTGGGGGTCGAGCCCACAACCCAGGCATATGCCTTGACTGGGAATTAAACCATGACCTCCTGGTTCATAGGTTGATGTTCAACCACTGAGCCTCACTGGTTGGACAGGAGTTGTACATTCTTGTTCCAGTTCTGCCACTAACTCACTCTGTGATCCTTGTTCAAATCTATTAAATTCCCTGTTCCTCTATGTACTCATTTTGTCAATGGAAGATTATTTCTTCCATACCTCACATGACTGTTGTAAGGCAAAAATGAGATATCATGCGGAAAAGCACTTTGAAAAGTATTAGAATGTTATATGAATGCTCCTTTCTTATTTTATTCTTTGCCTAATTCCTAGGGAAAGGGAAACCTAAACTACACAGCAACGGCCTATTTTCTGTGCTTCACAGGAAAGCTGATATATTTTGATACACGTACACTCTTCCCTATACTGTGTACCCCCAAGAGTCAAGGGCCAGTAACCATTCAGATATAGTATCACAACTGTGTCCAGGTCACAGGAGTTATTTTCCATGACAGTTTCTGACTGCTACAAGTAGTGCCTCAAGCAGTTTCAAGATCAGTGAGTAACAGTAAGCCTCACTCAGTTAATGAGAGGTAGACTTTGCGATCCACCCCATCCTTTGCTGCTTTCAGATCCCAGGAAGCCAGGGCTTCCCTCCCCTATTTGGTTTGGAACCGCTTTTGTGGTTTTCTGGGGAGAAGCCTGCCAGAAAGAAACAACCTACTTGGGTTGAGGTTGGCTGTTCCCGCCGTTTGCTAATTGCCTCTCACCTATAAAGGAAGGCTTTAATGATAGTTTTGCCAGAATTCATTTTAGTAATGGCCACTAACAATGGTTCACTCAGGGAAACCTGAACCAAACTGTGTCAAACCACATTAATTCAGTTTCATTAACTGAAAGCTAACGTACCAGAATACATAGTTTCTCCTCTCCTCACTGACAATGGGGAATGAAGAGGATACACATGAATTGCGCTTCTACGGTGTCAGACCTTTTGCAAGGTGCTGGGACCAGAGCAGAGGACAGACACTCTAGGAAGTGATAGTCTTCCTTAATGGAAACCTGCTGTTTAATTCTAGTCAACTACCAGGGATTCTAAAGACTTGCCTTTAAGCCAGACAATAAATCTTTTCATTGTTCTTTTAAGGTTGTTTCCTTTGGCTCCCTTTCATGGGCTTATGTGTCAGAAGCCTCTATGGACTTCCTCTTTGGAATTTGCTTGAAAATAGGATGTTTTGCCAGCTGCCCAAAGTCCCCAGTGTAATAGCTTTAGCACTATTTGGTGATGAAGAGCAGGCTCTCCATTTAAATCATAGACTAGCCATGGTTGGTTTGGTTCAGTGGATAGAGCGTTGGCCTGCGGGCTGAAGGGTCCTGGGTTCAATTCCGATCAAGGGCACATGCCAGGGTTGTGGGCTCAATCCCCAGTGAGGGGGCATTCAGGAGGCTGCCAATCAATGATTCTCTCTCATTGATGTTTCTAGCTCTCCCTCTACCATCATCTTTGAAATCAATAAAAAGGTTTTTTTTAAAAATCATAAACTACATTGGTGAATGGGGAGAAGCCCTCTCAATATTTTATATTCCCTCCCTGATTCAAACAAACCAAATGTAAAAGCACTTATGAGACAACTGGGGTATTCTGAACATGGACTAGGACTTTTATGTTAATGATTTGTTAATTTTGTAGGTATCTTAATGGTGGCATTGTGATTATGGTGTGTGTGTGTTTTTAAGATACATGCTAATGTATTTGCAGATGAAATAATGTGGGTTTTGCTTTATAATCATCCAACAGGTTTGGGCTAAGAGATGAAATGGGATTGACCCTGTGTTGACAGTTGTTTGGGGGGCAAGTTGTGGGTATCTGAGGCTGCACTGTGCTATCTTCCCTCTTCTTTTGTTCCTGTTTGAAGGTTTCTATGGTAAAGTTTAAAAATAGTAATAAGCTTAATATGGTTAAGTTAACCATATTCATTTTCCCTCCCTATCTACTACTTGATAGTCTAATACAGAGTCTAATACAGATGGAAGGTGCTTAATCATTGCTATAATCAACCTATAAATTACATGATGCCAGAGACTGCTTTATCCTTTTCTGTAGATACAGCTTGCAGCCCCTAGGAACCCATCTTATCAAAGGTAGGTGTTTATGAAGCTGGTACTTGTAGAATTAAATGTAAGGAACTTTCTATAATATCTGATAGCTCTTCAGTTTCTTCCACTTTCATAATGGTTTGGGGGAGTTACATAACTAAAAGAAATTTGAGAATTTGAGCCCTCGGGATAAAAAATAGACACCAGCCTGGCTGGCATTGCTCAGTGGTTAAGCGTTGACCTAGGAACCAGGAGGTCACAGTTCGATTCCCAGGCAGGGCCCATAACTGGTTGTGGCTCGATCCCCATTGTGGGGCGTGCAGGAGTTGGCGATCAATGCTTCTCTCTCTCCCCCTCCCTTCCTCTCTGAAATATATATATTTACATATATTAGCCACCAGAGGGAATCAGAGAGGCAAGTTTCTGTTAGTTTGGAACATTCCCAACCTGGAGTTCAATGCCACTGTGACAATTGCAGGACAGGCTGCTGGACCCAGCAGTTTCCCTCCTCACTATAGCCTAGTTAATTTTGAAACTAATAATTAAGGCTCTTTAAGGAAAAAATGGCCAAAACTGAACCTCAAATATTAACCCACTTATGCTACCCAGCTGTTTAGGCAGCAGAAGTCTGAAAATACCTGGCTTTTAATCAGGCAGGCAAGCACTGCACATGTACCAGTACACTTGAAACCACATCCGTCTACTTCTTAATATTCTAACTCACAGGAGGAAACCAGCTAGGACAATGAAGTAACTTCTTTTATGATGAGATATGTGTCTTGAGGGGTGGGATTTGGGGAGATGTGTTCTAGGAGCCACTGCCAGTTCTATTTAGAGTTAATAAAGCTTACCAGGACCCTGGGTCTCATGCAGCATGCAGCAAACAGCAGAGTTAACTGTAAAATAGTTAAGAGCTGATGAAGGTGGAGTGAGCTTGAAGGAGAAATAATGTATTATGAGTTCACACCAATAATGAAGAGTTAGAGGTCAAAGGAGATTAGGAGGAGTAGGAGGGGAGGGTGGGAGGGTGGGAGGGTAGGAAGGGGGGCTGGTACTTGTTCTTAATCTCTTTAAGGGCAGCCAAAGGAAATTCTAAGTATGTGACTCTGTTATATCCAACCACCATCTCTCCAGATGAAATACTTATCATCTCCACTTCTATTCTCATACCCCACCACCTCCATCATCACTATGGACTAGAGGGACACAGGTGTCATGATGGGTCTTCCAGAAGTTAGCTGACTATAAGGAATTATATAAGAAGCCCAGGCTGGGGGCCACCTACACTTCTGGAAGTGAGAAAGAGAGCAATCTATTTGGTCAGGTTTCCACCCCCTCAGAATATAAAGAGTACCTCCACCAACCCCAAATATTCCTAGAGACTATAGAGAGGGTCTTCTGTCTGGAGTTGGGGTGATATCAAGTAATTTGAGGCAACTGGGGGGAAACTTGGTCTGGGATAAATTTCTACTCACCCCCGAATAGAGAATATTTAGAACTTAGTGTTTATTAGTGGGGTCTGAACAAATGAATCTTCTAATTCCTACAAGCAAGCTGTTCAACTACCCCAGGGATCAAGTTAACAAATACCAAAGGGCTATGAAGGCAGCAGGTTAGAGCTGGGAGACAAATTTAGACCTTTCTGATCTTAAAAATAGGAATCCATGCCTGCTGGCACAACTGACATACTGTGACTGATCAGTTAATATGCATTGTTTCCAAAGAGGCTTCTTTTCTGGCTAGTTGAACTTTATCCATTAAGTAACACCAAAAAGAGTTCATTCGTCAGTGAATTTAACATATAGTGTTATGGTCCACTAACAAAAATCTTTATACTAATTGGTGAAAATGTTTAAATTATATTATGAATAATGAATAATCAAATTGGAAAACTGAGTGTCTTCAAATATATTTTAATACTGTACAAAAATCCTAAGTGATGAGCCAGGCTCTGAGGAAAGGAAGAAGTTCCTTCCTGGCTAATATCCAATAATTGAGCCCTGGCCAATTTGGCTCAGTTGGTTGGAGCATCGTCCTGTGTACCAAAAGGGTTACAGGTTCGATTCCCAGACAGGGCACATACCCAAGTCATGGGTTTGTTTTCTGCGCCGGCCATGTACAGGAGGCAACCAACTGATGTTTCTCTCACTCTAAAAAAAAATCCAATAGTTGGATCAGGAACAAGTAGCTAAGAACAGAGGGCAATGACCATGGACATCTTTCAGATCCTTGGCCTCTTTAATAAGGACGTTGCCTAACACTCAATTTGAGGGGTTCCCTGGGCACACAAACAACTTCAGAGCCCAAGGGACCACTGAGTTTTTTCTTGCTGTTGTATAAGTCCTGTCAAAAATGCTTTTCTCTTCTCTGGTTCTGGGATGAGGAATGGGTTGGGTCTGGATAATCAGCCCACATGGTAACCAGGAGCCCATGCTATCCTGCCTTACCAAATACCAGGGGAGAGAGATAGATTGTAAAATCATTCCCCAGGTTGAGGATGGGGCACCTAGAATATACCAACATCTGAAGGCTCCCCACCAAGTTCTTAGTTGTACCCCAGGCCAGGGACAGCTAAGTAGTCAATGGGATGGACAGTAAAGGGATGAGAAATCAGACCTGGGCTACAGCCTTCAGCAGCAGCAGTTAAATTCTGCTGGCTGCACCTAGTGAGAACTGAGGCAGAGAGAGGGTTGGCCTGCAGGCACGAGAGTTCACCTCAGGTATGGGGCAAGCAAGCGAGCGAGCATGCCTGGGAGCCCAATTGATTCCAACCTCTCAGACTCTCTCCCACCACCCTCTATCTGCCCTCCTTTTCGTTTATCTATTTCTTACAACTTTGTAGTGCTTATTGTTTCCACCCTTCTTCTTTCTACTCTCCCACATTCCCTTTGCTTTTCCTCTCCTTTCCCTCCCTCTCCTTCTGAGTTTGCAGGACTTTCCCACACAGGCCAAACAGAGGGGGCTGAGCTTCTGGGACCTACTGTCAATTGTCCAAATTCAGGAAATCCGAAAATTGCGTGAGAACACAATAGACACCCAAACTGGTCTGACAGCCCACAGCTCACCTCTCTCTGCTGCCCATCCTTCAGACCCCTCACCCTCCAGGTCCTGCCTTGAGGAGCAGAGAGAAGCCAACACCCCAGAGCAACCTCGCACTTACTTTTTCTTCTCTTTGTCCCTTTTCAGAGTCTGTGAGCCTCCAGCCTGGGAACCCTGGGACTGGAGCAGCTCAGCCGCCGACTTTCTCTGTTTGAAAGCGTTCACTTCATCATCCAGGGATTTCTTCTTATCCTCCAGCTTCTTCTTCTCATCCTGGTGTAGTTTCTTCAGACGGTCAAACTTCTCATGCAGCTGGCGAGAAAGCACAGGGAGTTTGAGGGGAGTCCCCTGTCAGTAGCTCCCAACTGAGTCTAGCAGGGTTGCAACCCTTCAGGAGCCTGGGAACTTAGGAGACATTTCTGCTAGAGACAGCTATGATGGCACCAAAGGTCTCCATGTTCTGGATAGTCTCCTTCTTCTGCCGTTTTACCTCCAAATTTATGCTCCTGAATATGGTCACGGAACTGTGCATTCTGCTTAATAAAACATTTTATCTAAAAGAGTCACCACACACGGTTAGTAATAATCCTATCCTATGTAATAAAAGCCCAATATGCTAAGTGTCCAACCATTTGTTCAATTGTTCTACCAGTCTCTATGATGTGCACTGACCACCAGGGAGCAGATGCTCCTACCAGTAGGTGAGCTTGCTGCTGAGGTCCAGCCAATCGGGACTGGGGAGACAGGCTGGACACACCCTGGAGCCATCCCTCTGTTCCTCCCCAGCCCAATCATGAATGAGTAGGGTCCCTCAGCCTGGCCTGCACCTTCTCACAATCCAGGACACCTTAGAGAATGTCGGGGAGCCAGTTTCAGACCGATTCCTGCAGGCCAGGCCAAGGGACCCCACCCATCTGTGCAACAGGCCTCTAGTATCAGTTACAATAGTATAACATCTCCTGACTGCTTACTGTAGGCCAGGCACTGACTTTTTAAAGCACTTTATATGTATTAACTCATTTAATCATCACAACACTTCTATGAAATAGTTTCTGTTATTATCTGAAATTTATGTGGTGACAGAAGTTAAGGAATTTGCCCAACCAAGATCCATCCATTATATACGGGATTATAGAGTGAGGTCTCCCAGCATGTCTTGGGTCCTGCCATTTTTTATCCCCTCCAGTCAGGGAGGACCACCATGGAGCACAGAGCAAACTGAAGCAATGCCAAAGCTGTTCAAAGGAAGTGCTTGGCCCTAGCTGGTTTGGCTCAGTGGATAGAGTGTTTGCCTGTGGACTGAAGGGTCCTGGGTTTGATTCCAGTCAAGGGCATGTACGTAGGTTGCAAGCTCAATTCCAGGTCCTGATCGGGGCACTTGCGGGGAGGCAACCAATCAATGTGTCTTACATTGATGTTTCTCTGAGTCTCTCCCCCTCCCTTCTACTCTCTCTAAATATCAATGGAAAAATATACTCAGGTAAGGATTAACCAAAAAACAACAACAACAACATCAAAGGAAATACTTGTTCTTGGACATGAAAGGAGATATTAAAAAGTTTTATAACATGGCATAGTGTGGAGACCTCAGCCTTGACCAAAGAGAGGTTTAACTATCCCTGAAGAGTCAGAGACCAGCAAGAATATCCTGGCATGCTATTGTAGTCAGTGGATCAAGAGGTAGAAGTGGGGCCCAGCCAGTGTGCTCAGTGGTTGAGGTTGACCACTGATTGAACCAGGAAGTCATGGTTCGATTCCAGGTTAGGGCATGTGCCTGCATTGCAGGGTCAATCCCTGATGGGGGGCGTGCAGGAGGCAGCTAATCAATGACTCGCTCTCATCATTACTATTTCTATCTCTCCCTTCCTCTCTGAAATCAATAAAACTACCGGTATGTATTTTTAAAAATAGGTAGAAGTGGTATGTGATAAATTACCCTGAATAGTAAAGCAGACCAAGCATAATTTCACTTTCTTTTGAGGGTTCAGGAGATGTTGGGATTCTGTAGCACTTGCAGCACACCATGAAGGTATTTGGGATTGCCACTTGGTAAGGGATGGTGGATGACAGACTCGCAGGGTAAGCCAGCTTTTATTAGTCATTTGGGGTAGAGGGATGGAAGCTCTGCCAGTCAGTTGCTTTCACTTGACTTTTGTCCATTGGTTTTTCATTCATTTCTCTTTGAGGTTTCCTTACCCCTCCTCCTAAAAGTACTGGGTGATATTTTTCTTTTGAAAAGTAAAATTGAAGTAAGATCAACAGCCTTGTCTTGGACTTTATTGATAACCCTAGAGAGTCACAGCAGATTACAGGAAAAAGATACTTGGGCAGTAATTAAGTGCTTCCTTTCATCATGGGCTCTAAGGCCCAGAGAGTGAAGCAGTTGTTAAAGTCACCAAAACTGTAGCTGCGGCCACTTTAATCAGGCAGCAGTGGGTGCATTGGTAGGGGACCTGGAATACAAGGCAACAGTTGGAGGACTAACTGCACTCTATTAGGCACGACTTCAGTAATGAAAACCCCAGGGGGATCATCAAACCTTAGTTTACATACTCTCTAGATGCGCACAGATGTTTTTTTAATGCCACCATGAAATGGAATAGAATATCCAAATGACTGAGGAAGTGCCCAGTTGTTACTGTTTTAGGTTTCAACAAGGTACCCAGGATTGCCTGGGACCATCTTTCCCCATGGCCGTCAGAGAGCAGTTGGGTTGGGGCAGAACAGCCAAGAATCAGTTTGCATGTGGCTAGTGGCTACTATATGGACAGTGCTGCTCTAGAGGATTAAGTAACACAGAATGAGAAAACGTCCCGGTCTTGGGGAATGAGGAATCAAGGAGACAAAGATGCCTCGCAGCTCCCCCTGTGCCAGCAGAGGCAGGGCTACAGATGCTGTGCCCCATTTCTTCCTGGAGGCTGCAAGGCTCTGGCTGGCAGTGCTCTCAAAGCAGAAGCTCCTGCCATGCCCAAGCTCAGCTTCCTTTTCCTTTCCCCCTAACACCTAGGCTCCCATTTACCTCTTTCTCTGCCTCCTTGAGTTCAGCTTCTTTCTCCTTGACTCTCTGGACGAACATCTGTCTCATCTCCTCTTCTTTTTTCTGGAGCTCCCCTAGGAACTCATTTCTTTTGGCCTCATACGTCTCCTGCAAACTGGGAACATTGTCAGGTTAATTCTCCTGCGTTTGGAATAGCTCCTATTGGATAAAAACTGACCCCAATGATCCTCCCTGGGTTCCCCCATCCTCCTCTCCCTGATTTTGGGAGGGGTGCAAACACAGAACCACAAAGCTGTGGGCAGCTGGCTTGGCATGTGACAGCAGAATCACAGAGCAGCTTGAGGGTGATGGAACAGTCCTGGTGAACTGGAGAGATATTTAGAGCTGGGAGTGACTTAGAACATCTGTCTCTATGCTCTCATTTACAGGTGAGGAAACAGGCCCAGAGAGGTGAAGAGACTTGCTCATGACCACACAGCTAGTTAGAGGTAGAACTGGGACTGGAAGCTGGGTATTTTGTCTTTTACTCTGGGATCCTCCTATTCCACTTTGCTACCACGCTCCGGCTCTGAAATTGACCACGTTAATGAAATATTGCAATACACACTTGATGAGACTCCACTACCTGCTAGACACAGGACTGAGTGACACGAATACTAGTCACTCAACATCTAGAGCCAACAGCCACTGGGCCTGCCATCAAAGAGCTTACACTAGTGGGAAATGCCTGAGCTAAGTCTCCCTGCCCCCAGCTTGGGCTTAGTTAAAAAAAAAAATAGGAGTTAGCCTGGTAAAAAAAAAAAGAAGGAAGTGGGCTCTGAAGATAGCAACATGTACAAAGGCACATGTGGAGAGAGACTAGCATACTTAGGAAGTCAGGCACAGATCCACATGGCTGGAGAATCTAGTGTGAGCTATGGAGTGGTGGGATAGGAGGTCCCTGAGTCTGGCAAGAGAGAGCAAGCATTGGATGCCATATTAGACTTGGACATTTATCTATACTGTAAGGTTTTAAGTCAGAGGTCTGACTTGACCCAACTTGAAAATGAGAAAGAACACTCTGGCTGTCGCATAAAGGACAGACTTTCCAAAAATCCAAGTAAGAAATGGCAGGCTCTTAATGTTAAGAGCTGGTGAGGAATGGGGGACTTGAGGGACCTGGAGGAACAATAAGGTAGACAGGACTCCCAGGACTTGGGAGGACTCAAAGATTATTCCAGTTTTTGGCTCAGGCAACCAGGTGAATGGTGGTACTGTGAGCTGCGACAGGGAACACTGGAGAAGTATGGTTAAGAGGGAGAAGTTGACTTAAATTTTAGACAGCCCACCTTTCAAGTATGCCACTTATGGAATGTCTGAGTGAAAATATACAGTATGCACTTAGCTCAATGGGTTTGGAGCTCAAACATAGGATTTTAGCTTGGGATTCATCTATTTCTGGGTGGTAATTAGGTCAGTGAGAGGAGAAATAACCAGCTACAAAGAGAATAGAGGTGAAAGGAGCAGAGACCCTAGAAAAGAATCCTGGGGCACAACATTTCGAGTAAGCTGAAGAAAATGAGCCTGCTGATGAAGCTGAAAAGGAGTAGCAAGAGAGATAGGACTAAAACCAGCCAGACCAGTGCTAGAAAAGCCAAAGGCGAGAGAACTTTGGGAAGGAGGCAACAAAGGAACATCAAACGACGAGATTTTAAAAAGATGGGACTTAGCCGGGACGGGTTTGGCTCAATGGATAGAGCGTTGGCTTGGGGACTGAAGGGTCCCGGGTTGGATTCCGGTCAAGGGCATGTACCTTGGTTGCGGGCACATCTCCAGTAGGGGGTGTGCAAGAGGCAGCTGATCGATGACTCTCTCTCATCGATCTTTCTAACTCTCTATCGCTCTCCCTTCCTCTCTGTACAAAATCAATAAAATATATTTTTTTAAAAAATGGGACTTAGCCCCAACAGGGGTGGCTCAATGGTTGAGTGTCAGACCATGCACCAACAGATCACTGGTTCAATTGCCAGTCAGGGTACATGCCCAGGTTTCGAGCTCAATCTCCAGCAGGAGGCATGGAGGCAGCCGATCCATGTTGTTTCACTCTCATGTTGATGTTTCTTATGTTGATGTTTCGCTCATCCGTGTTTCAATCTCTCTCTCCCTCTTCCTTCCTTTCTCTCTTAAAAACAAACAAACCACAGCAATAAAAATATATTTAAGCCCAGCCGCATGGTTCAGTGGTTGAGCATCAGCCTATGAACTAGGAGGTCATGGTTTGATTTCTGTTCAGGCTTGCAGATTTGATCCTCAGTAGGAGGCATGCATGAGGCAGCTGGTCAGTGATTCTCATCATTCTCTCTTCTCTCTCTCTCTCTCTCTCTCTCTCTCTCTCTCTCTCTCTCTCTCTCATCTCCCCCTTTCCCTTCCTCTCTGAAATAAACAAAAAATATATTTTTAAAACCATATTAAAAAAAAAGGAAAAAGATGGGACTTAGAGGCCACACTGTATTTGGCCATGAGTGTGTAATTGCTGTTCTTGGAGGGAGGCATTTCAGGAGTGTGGTAAGATCATTAGTCAAAAGACAAGAGCAACTCTTTCTCCTTCCTGTCAGAGCCGAATTTCTTGACAGGGCAGAGGCTGGTGAAGAAGAGCAGTTAAGCGTGAGTTTCTTTAGGATGGGAATATTTACATGCAACATTAAAAGGAGAAGGCAGAGGAGTGCAGAGGGTGAAGATGCAGGTAACAGGTGTTTAGGATGGAGCAAATGAGGAGGGGAGGGGACTAGAAGAACAGGTAGAAGCATACCTCTTCCTCCACAGATGCGATTAAAGCTGGCGGAGGGGAAGGACAGAGAAAGCTAAGGAAGCACCCACTGGAGAGACAAGCATGCCTTCCTCCAAACCCAAGAGCTCCAGTGGCCCTTGTCCGCACTGAGGACTGAGTCTGCCCCTCCAGAACCAAGCAACCCTGAAGGACTGGCTATGCTTTGCTTCCTGGCCGGGTTTCCACTGTGAGCAGGTACTGTGGATCTCTGACAGCCTTCTTAGCCCACAACCTTTCCTATCACTTGCTTATGAAGGCCTGACATTTCCTAAAATAAGACCGAGCCCTGGTAAGGGCAACACATGGTCATTTAAAACGTGGGGCTTATATCAGACATCGTGCATAGAGATCAGACACTTGGGAGACATTGGCTCCTATTAGCATAGTAAATGCATTCAGAAGCATTCCTCTTCTCTGGAAGCATCTTAGGTTCTGATTTAAGAAGTATGTCAATGACTATTAGCATCCTTGGGTCAAAACAAAACCTGCACTTGACGGTGAATGAAGAGCCTCAAGTTCCCCAGAGCATGTGCAGTGACTGCTACCTGAACCCGTCTGGTTTTGATAATGGGCAGGAAGGTAAAGAAGACACTGGACATCTGACAGAGCAGCAGCAGCCTGATGAAAAAAGTGGAGCATAGAACAGGCACAAACTGCTCCAGCTCAGGGCCTCCTCTGGTATAGCTGGCTGCAGTTGCTGTGTGTACAGAGTGAGACCATTGGCCTTGCTGGGCCTCTAGGCCTCCTCCATGGCCCACTGCTTACCAAGTCCGCCTGGCCACAACTCCCCCAGGAAGGCAGAGAAGGACTGGCAAGTAAAACAGGCAAATTACTGAGTCCTGATGTTCTTGGTCTCAGCTCCTGTGTCTGACTCCCTTGTGGATGCTCTAGGGTAAAGCCTCCATACCCCCTGGGTTGGCTCAGCTGAGTTTGGCAGAGGTGGCATGAGAGATACCTGAAGGGTTTGCTATCGGGGTCAGTGTCCTTGAAGCCCATCTCCTCCAGCTTGCAGCGGCGGTACAGCTCATAGTGCCGGCTGTGGGTCTGCTCCCGGAGGTCCTCCATGTTGACCCGAAGCAGCATCTCCCGCAGCTTCACAAAGTCGCAGTGGGCCTCATTTTCAACTGCATAGTAGGGGGTGGAGGGTTGAAAGTATGTTGAAAGGAAGGCTTAAAGAAGCAGAAATGATCAAATATGCCCAGCCGATGTGCTCAGTAGTTGAGCGTCGACCTATGAACCAGGACATGCCTGGTTGTGGACTCTACCCCCAGTAGGCGGCAAGCAGGGGGCAGAGATCAATGATTCTATTATTGATGTTTCTATCTCTTCCCCTTCCTCTCTGAAATCAATAAAAATATTTTAAAAAAGAAAAGAAATGGTAAAATGAGAAGCGAAATGTCTTACAGCCATACGGCCTTTCAATCTGTATACAAAGTTTTATGAATTTCCCCCCTAATTTCCTTTTCTACTGATAAAACAAATGAAGTTACAAGAATGACAGTCATGGAAACTTCAATGCCATTAAAAAAAAATAATAATTTAAAAAAACACCTATGAAGACATTCAGTAGCACCTCAACCCCAATTCACCAATCAGACCCTCACAAGAGTTTCTGCCCTGCACCATTCTTAAGATAATGACACACACATGTTCAGCTACCTGTCCAGTAAACATTTGTGGAATCTCTGTTCCCAGTATTGTAAGAAGCACTGCGAATCCCGAAATTAAGGCATGGAGTCTTGCCCTCGGCAGTTTAGCGGGAGAATAGATGCAAATAGACAAATACAGCACAATGCAAACATTAAGAAAATAATAGTATATAGCCAAGGTGCAATGCAAACCCAGAAGAGAGGGGCCTAAGAACTCATGGGAGAGTGAAGGCTTCACCAGAGAGGCAACCGCTAAGATGACTCTTCAAGGAAGGATAGTAATTTATCAGGCAGAAGAGGAAATAGTCTTGACAAGGTCTCAATGAGGTCAGGCAAGGTTAAGTAGCTAATAAGTTGCAGGGTTAGGATTCCAATCCAGGGCATCTAAAGCAGGGGTCACCAATCTTTCGGACCTCACGAACCACTAGTTGGTGACCGCTGACTAAAGCATAGGTGTCAAAGTCCCCAAAGAATAAGGAGGAAGAAGTAGGACATCAATAGTTGACAGCGACAAGGAGGGGTATGGCCCATCTGGATGGCAGAAGCTTCAAAAGAGGTGTGTTATATTGCCTGACAGCAATAGTGACCAAAGTGGACCCCACTTTCCAGCTTAAGTGGACAAGCCCTCTCCTCAAAAGGGTGTGGCAAAGGAAGGTCTGCATTTGGGGCAGTGGCCAAGAAGGACAGAGATGTGGACCAAATAATAGCAATGTGGAATTCTGGCTGGAACACACGGTTGGGAGCAGTGCCCTGCCACATGTAACCAAGCATGGCTGCACTGTGTCAGAGTGGGAGTGGCTAGTCTGACCATTGGGATAGGGGGGGCTTGAGATGATGAACAAACACAGTCACCCCATATCCTGTCTTGCAGGGTGTGGGAGAAAGTAGTGAGGGCAGGGAGAGGGTCCAGGATGACAGCGTGGGGCATAGTTGCAGCTGACTGTTTTTGCAGTCAGCAGAGTAATCTTTCCAAAGCCCAAATTAACTCACATGACCCCTCTGCTTAATGCTCATTCCCTTTTGGGTAAAGCCCCTCACTGTCATAGAACATAAACTAATATGAAATATTGCATCTGTCAGGCAACTTTTCAGGACCATCTCCTCCTCTGTCTCCAGACAGTGACCCCTGGTGGCTGGTCAGAAGGAGTGACTCTAAGGCCCCTACATGCTGCCCAGACAACAGCTTCTTCCTCACAAGAATACAACAGTGAACCCTGACTTATAAGAAAAAATGTTCAAAAACCATTTTGTTGGTTAGGTGTGGAGTAGTCTAAGTCAGATAAAGTCACTGGAACCACACTTGTTAGCTTCACCTAAGGTTCCTGTCTCTCAGACTACACATTCATTCCCTCTGTTGGACTGTCGGTTTAGAAACCATTTGCAAATGTTCCTAGTGGACCAGCTCCAGCCCCAACTGGCAGAGAAAATCAAAACTTGACACAGTTTTGATGACCAGTCTTGTCCTAGCCACAGCAAATTCCACTACCGCAGCAGGGTCTCTGATGTGCCCTAGCGCATGCCGGCCTTTGGGTGGGATATGGACAACTTCCCACCAGCTTTCACTTGTTTGCTCAGCGTTAGGGATGAGTCTGCAGTGAACCAGCCACCCTGTCACACATGGTGACCCTGCAATCACAGACCTAGCTTATAGCTGCAGACTCAGGAGGCCGGGCACCTCTTCCACCCTAGTCCTAGGCCTAGTTTCATGTACTGAATTGACTAGTCCGAGTGTAACTTCACACTCATCAAAGCAGACCACAAAATGAACATTCCTGATTGTATATACATTTGTTCTTAAATTGCAAAATAATCACACATACAAAACGGTGCATGAAATGTGCAATTTAAAGAATTTAAAAATGAATACCAATGTATCCAGGGCCTTGGTGAAACACTACCAAGTACCTTAAAAGCTTCCTCCTTCCCCACCATGACATACAACCTGACTTTTGGGTTTATCATTCCTTTGTTTTTCTTTACAGTTTTACCACTCACATATGAATCCTTAAAGATGTATATCTTGTTTAGTTCTATTATTGAAATTCATGTAAATAGAATAATACATGTATTCTTCTATGACCTATTTCGCTGCTAAGACCTATTCTTCTATGATCTATTTCTTTTTTAAAAAATATATATTTTATTGATATTTCACAGAGAGGAGGAAGGGAGATAGATAGAGAACTAGAAACGTTGATGAGAGAGAAACATCGACCAGCTGCCTCCTGCACACCTCCCACCGGGGATGTGCCTGCAACCAATGTACATGCCCCTGACCGGAATCGAACCCGGGACCTTTCAGTCTGCAGACCGACGCTCTACCACTGAGCCAAACCGGCTTTGGCTACGATCTATTTCTGAGATGCAATCATGTAGATGTAACTATAACCCATTCAGTATAATATCCCATTATATGAACATTTCAAAAAAATTTTTATTGATTTATTTTCAGAGAGAGAGGAAGGGAAAGGGAGAGAAATATCGCTGTGAGAGCAAAACATTGATCAGCTGCCTCCTGCTTGCTCCCTATTGTGCACTGAACCCATAACCAAGATATGTGCCCTGACCAGAATCGAACCAGCAACCTTTTGGTGCATGGGATGATGCCCAACCAACTGAGCCACACTGTCCAGGGCCATCTAATTTATTTTTAATGGATATCTTAGCTGTTTCTAATTATTAGCTCTTATGAACAACTCTGCTTTGGACATTATTGTAAATCTCCTTTTGTGCTAGGGCAAGTACACATACTCTCTTGCACACTCCTTCCCACCTTGCTTGAGGTACATTTATTTTTGTTTTGGGAATGCTTTCTCCATTGGAGACAAAGAGAGCCCACTCATGGCAGAGAATCCAGAAACCAGATTTTGCATGCTGGCAACTCCTATGGCTGCTTGAGGCCCGAGCTAAAAAAAATAGAGAGACCTGGAACAAGTTAGGGATTGGTCAACCAATGGCTGGGGTCAAGCAAAGAGACAGAGAGAAGGAGCTTCCTTCTCCCAGTCTCCGGAGACTCACCCTGCACTGTGCCCCAAGGATACTGCCGGGCCCTCATCATCTTGTTGCCTATCTTCAGTTCTTCCGTGCTGCCAACAACAGCAAAAGGCAGGTGGGCCTGAAACAGAAGGCAAACAAAAGCTCAGAACTCCAAGAGGAAGGCAGAGCTCCCACAATACAAATGCTGCTCATCTCCTGGGCCTCAAGCCCTCACACTTTAGCGTCCCTCACTGTCATCCACAAACAAGAGGCACTTCTTAAGCTCCCGGGGTGCCTGGGGATAAGAGGCCTAGTTCAAACTTCTGCTGTTGAAATTCACAATAAAAGGTAACATTGAAATGGCCAAATGCATAGGGAACAAAGACAGCAAATCAGCAGAATAATAAGCAGATACACAGATCAGCCAGCTTCCCAGTATTCACAGTTGCTGAGGGAAAGAGCCTTTGTAAGGTGGATGAATGGGATGAGGGGGGCTGTGGGAACCATGAGGCTAAAGGAAAAACAGTTGTACTGGGATCACTGGCCATCCCCCTTCCGTAGAGTGTGAGAGCCCTGAAAATAGGTGTATACTGAAACCACACTGCTGGCTGAGCTATATGCTTCTTGTTCTTGTCCTTCTCCGGAGGAAGAGCTCACACTGAACTCTTGAGCCTAGAAGTCAAGTCCGTAAGTATCCACATGCCCATGATTGTGTTGGATTGTTTTAGGTGCTGTAAGGGAGACAATGGAAATAAAAGACATATTCTCTCACCCTCTAGGAGCTTACAATCTTGTTGAGGAAGCCCGATTTACATACCCCAAATCATATAAGACAGAATATGACCAAGGACTCAAATGTATGCTCTGGTGTCTGGCACATAGTAAGTGCTTCATCAATACTCCTTTAATGGCAGTGGCAAGGCCATGGGAATAGTAGAAAGAAAAGAAAGACCAAGTATGAAGAGGGGTCTGAGCTTGGTGCTTGCAGGGGGTATCAAGGAGCGAGGACTGGCTAATTAAGGCTTTGTGGGTCAGAGAAGAGGCAGCCTGTGTGGGGCCTGGGAAAGCACCCTTCTGTAGGGAGCTGGCCAGGTTATAAGTGTTGAGTGACTGCTATGCCCAGATTTCAAGATCGCCAAGGACCACCAGGGAGCCGAGTTCGATGCAAAAAACAAAAGAGCCTTTATTCAAACTGAAGTCTGGTCTCCCTGCCTCTACTGTCACAGCGGCAGAATGCAGAGAGCCCCGAGCTCTAAAAGTGTGGTCTTTTTATAGGGCTTAGGGTTGGGTGGTGGGGTTATGCTCGGACCACTGAGTTGGCTGGTTCTGATTGGTGGGGTGAGGGCCAGGGTCCGGTTACGCTGGGTTACTTCCCTCTGCATTTCTATTGGCTGATTTAAGAGTGGGTTGGGTAATTGATATGTTTTATACAAGATGGAAGACATAATAAAAAATGGAGTCAGTCCTGCTCTGCCCTTGAAAGTAAGCCTACGTGCTTGGAAGGAGATCATAACTCAAGGCCTGGCCTGGTGTCAGCACTGATAACTCTATCTGGGGCACAGTCCACGGCCTCTCTGGAAGCATGCTCCAACACTCTCACTCTCTAACAGTGACCACTGGCCAAATGGAAGCACTGAATAAATAGTGTTTACAGACCAGGTGATTCCAAGTGGGGCTTTACTTAAAAGGACTCTACAAGGACAAATAAAAAGTTCACTGGAGCTGAAACCAGTTTGGCTCAGTGGACAGAGCATCGGCCTGCGGACTGAAAGGTCCCAGGTTCGATTCCGGTCAAGGGCATGTACCTTGGTTGTGGGCACAACCCCAATGGGGGTGTGCAGGAGGCAGCTGATCAATGTTTCTCTCTCATGGATGTTTCTAACTCTCTATCCCTCTTCCTTCCTCTCTGTAAAAAATCAATTAAAACAAACAAACAAACAATATATATATATATATATATATATATATATATATATATATATATTTTTTTTTTTTTTTTTTTTTAAGTCCACTGCAGCTTTCTTAGCCTGCTTGGAGAAACAGGCCTTGATTGCACATATTTTGATCCATGGCTCATTCTTCCATTCTGTAAATATTTACTGAGCTCCTGAGCTCCTGCTATGTACTAGGCATTAAAAAAGAATACACAATTTAAAAAGTTCAGAGTCTGCCCTTGGAGAGTGCACAATCTGATAGGGGAGAAACATGCCAACAATGATAACACAGTAAAGTCCAGATTATAAACAGAGGTTCAAGGGCTGGAGGGGCACAGAGGAGGGAGCAGCTAACTTCTTAGGAAGTCAAAGCAGGCTTCACAGTAGGCAGTAGCAATTGTGCTAATAGTATTGTAGCTATTGAACTGATATTAGCAGCAGCAATTCACACAACTCTATGTACTCCGTATCAGCTGGAGTATATTGCATTATCTCATTGAATCTTTACAATGCTTGAGGTAAGTATTTTTAATCTTGTCTTACAGAAGAGGAAATTGAGTTTGAAAGACTAAGTGACATGCCAGCAATCACACAGTAGTAAAAGGCAGAACAAGAGGTGGAATCCTGGTTTCTCAGACTTCAAAGCCCACCCCTGCTGGTCTGCCACACCCATTTTGAGGTTAAAGCAGCAGATGAGGTAAGCACTCCAAACCCTAGAATGAACTGCTTGTGCAAGGTCAGATTATAAAAGGCGGTTCAATTCTGGGAAACCCACAGCAAACGTTTTTTGTTTATTTAATTTGTGCACTGATCTCAGAGCCAATCCATTTTCTCCATTCTCTTCTAGCTCCACACCCCAAGAATGTTCTTGGGAATGGAAAAACACAGGACTTCATCACAAGCTCAGCTCCAGGACATCTGCTAATCCCCCGAGGTGCTTGACCATCCAGCTGAAGTGGCTCGCCCCCATCCTCTCTCAACTGCTCTCAGAGTAGCATCTCAGGCCACCCTTTCCCACTCTGCTGACCATCCCTGAAACAAGGACATAGGAAAGAGGGGAAGAGGAGGTTATAAATATGGAAGATGAGCAAGGGATAAAGGTGGGAAATGTTTCATCAGTCCTACTAGGGGAATGAATGATCAAGAGGGTCATTGGGGCTTGGGTGATGTGACTCAGTGGTTGAGTGTCGACCTATGAACCAGGAGGTCACGATTCAATTCCTGGTTGGGGCACATGCCCAGGTTATGTGCTCGGTTTCTAGTGTGGAGTGTGCAGGAGGCAGCCTATCGATGATTCTCTCTCATCTTTGATGTTTCTGTCTCTCTCTTCCTCTCCCTTCCTCTCTGAAATCAATAAAAATATTGGGGGTAAAAGAGGGTCATTGGGTATGCATGTGACACATGGAGCATTAGGGGGGCACTGAAATATCAAAAACCCTGACCAAGTGCCAGAGATCTCTTACCTCTGCCAGCTGGCTTTACCAGGGGGTCATCTGGGTACAATCATTCTCACTCAGGGACCCAAGACATGTCAGGAGCCTCAAACCCACCCCCAAACCCTTTCCAGGAAAACGTTGCCCTTTTTGTAGAGCCCCAAAAGCTCATGATACAAAAGAACCAGGGGGCAGTGATAGTGGAGGGCTGGATGGCGGAGGGCTAGACTGAGGGAGGAGGTGAGAAAGAGAAACCACACTGCATCATTTTCACACATCCTGGGCTCTCAGAGGAAGTGATGGAGGAGGAGGCTGTGTGAAGTGGGAGGTATTCCTCTGGGCTCAAGAGAAAAGAAAAAAAAATAACAAGGAGAGAATAAAAGCATAAAAAATGTGAGTATTCCCCTGGGCCTATTATTTATCTCCAAAAGACATTGTTAGTTAGAATGGCAGGGTCGCTTGCTTCCTCTCTTCCTTAAACTGCTGTTATTTTACTCCTCCCCATTCTAAAACGCACAGCCCCGGCCCAGGCAGCTTCAGAGGGCTCGGGAAACCTCCCATGGCCCTCTCCTTTGCAATTGGCATCGAAGTCTGTTCTGATAAGTATATGCAAGGATATCATGTCTCAGTGCTCCAAGGCAGATTTCACTTGATTCTCCCAACAGTGCTACAGGACAGTTATTATCAATCCCATTCATGATTTGGGAGAACTGCACACAGAAGGGTTAAATGAGTTGCCTGGATCCCTAACTCTCTGAGCTTTAAATTCCAGCCTCCCCCAGTCATCCAGGGCTGCTGGCACTGTGCCTCCAGGTTAAATGGCATTCGCTGGAAATCAGCTAACCTGTGAAGGTAAGGAAATCATGGGACCAGGCTCTGGCTCTCTTTCTGCTGCTCTTGAGAGACTAATGGCTATGACAGCCAGAGTAGAGTCAAAAAGCACAGAGAGAAAGGTACTCCCTTCATACTCCCAGGGGTGACATTGGGTATGTGTGGGCCCAGGGAAGAGACTCTGATGGATGCAAGACAGTACTGCGGCTGAAACAGCGACAGACTCCTAAGGGGACTCCATGGACCTGTCTCACCCAGAAGACCTCTAATGAGGTTCCCCCAGAGGTCAGATACTCCGGTTTCAGAAAACTTCAACAAGAGAGAGCCTCAAGCTTCATCTTGTGAGTCTAGCTCCAGATTCATCACCTTTCTTGTCTCGTGTCTACCTTCAATTCCTCTTGGCATATTTTAAAGTGTTTGATGATCCAATTGGCATGAATGATTCTCTCCTGGTTCCACTACATCCATTATACTTTGGGAGGGTAGATGATCAGTCCCCTCGGCCTGGTGAAATAGAGACTGTCGGGGCCCTTTTCTCCTTGTCTGACAATATCCAGTTAGGCATGGCTTCCTCCCAGGGCTGACAGACAGTATGTCCCAGTTGTGCTGCTGGTTATGTTTGCCCCCATTTCAGGCTCCTATGGCAACTGAGCAAGAGCATTGCCTGACTCTCAAGTCAGCCCTTGATGATTCCCACAAAAGTGTGTGCAAATGATGAAAGGGCACTGCTGCCTCCGGAGAAAGGACAGGCTTGTGCCTGTGGGTCTCCCTGTGATTCTACAGGTCATCCATGTGACCAAATGGGGCCAAACCCAGGACCTCACAAGTGGCCACTCAAGTGAGCCAAGTAGAATAATTAGGTCTATTGCCAGGTCCCTGGCCATGGTTTGAGCCATACAAAGAACAACAATGAATTTGAACAACACAGCAATTTTTAGTATTAAAGTCTACAACCTTGAGAGTGATCAGAGCATGGACTGAAAGTAGCATGCCATGAGATCTCTCACTACTTTGCTCCCTCAATCTGAAACCAAGGTTTTCAGAGCCACCAGAAGTCAAGGGGAAGGCTGAGAACTCACTATTTTCATGCTGTGCCATGAAATGGTGGGCAAGGGGATGGCTACCCGGTCCTCTCCTCTTAGGCAAGAGGCTTCTCCACTTTTTCCAACCCAGTTGCCATGGTAACTGGCTGGGGTGGCTGAGGCTGTGGGGCTGGAGTCAAATCCAGAATTGAAAGGCCAGCAACCAATTCTCCTCCCACCCAATCCCAGGTTTCTGATGATGCAGCTTCATATACCACGCTTATTGGAAGGCCCTGGGGACTTTTGGCACAGTTTTAACGGTGGCAGGCAGGCTAAGCAAGCCTATGTATATATTGTATAGCATCCCATCACAACACACCTAATACATAGCATTTACATGCATGACCTCACCCACAGGCATGCCCAGTTCCAGGCACACTAGCTGGAAGCCACCCTCTCTTTCCCACTCAGAAAAACACAGTAGATTACCAGGGAATGAATGCTGAGTGATGTTGTTATAGAGATAACCCTAAACCCATTAAACCTCCAGTTATATAAAAAATAATGAGTCATGGGAATGTGTATAGCATAAGAAAAATAATATTATTATAACTAGAGGCCCAATGCACAAAATTTGTGCAAGAATAGGCTTTCACAGTCCCAGCTACCTTGAGGCCCTGTGGCCCCCAACCCCACCCATTGGTCATTCTGGAAGGTCGTTCCAGAAGGTTGTTCCGCCATCTGGTCTAATTAGCATATTAGCTCTTTATTATATGGGATAATTCTGTATGGTGACAGGTGTTCACACCATAAGGAATATAAATGTTGAATCACTATGTATGTTATACACCTGAAACTGATATAAATTTCTATGTCAACTATAATTTTTAAAAAGGGAAAATACTTAGTTTTTCAAAGTGAGCTACTGGCAAACTTTGGACTATCATAAAAAGAACCCCAACCCCTTCACAGCCCAAACAGTGTGCTTGAGAACTGTTGCTTCATAGCATGGGAAATTTCCAACCCTGGCCGTGCCTGCCCCAGTTCAAACAGGAGGACAAGGCTGAGCTGGGAGCAGAGACTAAAATGATTCACAATGTAGTGACATGCAGTTTTGTGTGACACCTTGAAATTTCAGAGGACTCTTAGCCCCTCTCCATTCTTAGGAAAGCAAACCACAAGCCTGAAAATTTCCTAGTGACTTAGGGAATCCATGTTTAAAGATGTCTATGAGGTCCTGTGTTCTGAGGTGACAGGTGCTTCCAGACATCAGTGCCAGTGACATCAAGAGACACTTCTCTCTGGGCTCCCATTTTTCTGCAGGCTTGGCACCCTTTCAGGTTTTCTCATTGTGACAGAGCCTGATTTCCTTTCAAACTTCTTGAGAAAATAAGTACAAATCTGTTTTTTCATTTTTTTTCTTTATTTTTTTTTTAGTGCTCACGATTGGTTATAACTTCACCTACCACAGTCCACATAGTCATCCTCTTTTTCGCCATATTTGTCAAAAGTGACAAGGGACTTCTAATAACAGCCATATCTCAGGTGTACTGATAAGCAGAAAGTCAGGCGAGACAATGACTTGCTGTCCCACTATGCTAATTTGTTGGCCAATTCAGAGGAGGTGGCAGCTGAAGAAATAATGATAACTTACCGGGGCAGCAGCAGCAGGAAAGTTTCTAAAAATGATTTTTATTACAAGGCTTTCCTGAGTTTGGCTATACCCAGGCATTATGTCATTAGGAAAAACTGATGCCTCTCAGCAGAGAAAAAGAAATCTGTTCCCAAAGCAGAGGCTTTCCGCAAGCTATTAGCTGTCTCCTTGAAATCATAACATTGAAGATTTCACAGCAACAGCATCAACACATTGTAAAGAAGCATGAGGCGATGTTTGACTCTCTGCCTTCTTCATTACTCACTCCTCTAGTGAGGGGGAGAAGGGGAGGAGAGGCAAGATGGCAAGTTGCTTTAAAAAAAAAATCAGCTGGGACTGGTTTGGCTCTGGATAGAACGTCGACCTGCGGACTGAAAGGTCCCGGGTTCGATTCCGGTCAAAGGCATGTACCTTGGTTGCGGGCACATCCCCGGTAGGGGGTGTGCAAGAGGAAGCTGATCGATGACTCTCTCTCATCGATGTTTCTAACTCTCTATCCCTCTCTCTTCCTCTCTGTGAAAAATCAATAAAATATATTCAAATAAATAAATAAATAAATAAATAATCATTGACACTTAATAAACCAAAGCATAACCCTAAAACTTTAAAAATAATATTCCTCTAGTCACAAGAAAAATTGGGGGCCATATAGCATTTTTCCTCCCAGGAGCAGAGGGCTTGATTATCTGAGTACAGATTATCCCCGAGTCTCCAAAGCCAGCCAACATTTTTAGTCTTGTCTTCTTTCACCGCATCAATTGTCAAGGCACTGTTTTGGTCAGAGAAAAAGAATGTTTGCCCTTTCCAGCAGTCTCTTGGAGCTGCCTGGCCTAGACCAGAGCCAGCATCAAAGAGGAGGGTGGAAAGAGAGATCTAAATCTCCCACTCCAGACTCTTTCTGGAGTCAGTTAGCCTTTCCATTCTTTGGTCTCTGGCTGTTTATCTCTGCATCACTGAGGCTTTGAAGCAGCCACCACTAGGAAAGAGGAGCTATCTCATTCTGGATTCTGTCTCACAAATACTCAGCCCATCCAGTGTGGCTCAGTGGTTGAGCATTGACCTATGAACCAAGAGGTCATGATTAGATTTCCCATCAGGGGCATATGCCCGGGTTATAGACTCAATCCCCAGTAGGGGTTGTGCAGGAGGCAGCCAATCAATGATTCTCTCTTATCATTGATGTTTCTATCTCTCTCTTCATCTCTGAAATCAATAAAATACATTTTAAAAATTAAATATTTAAAACAAACACCTGATACTCAGATAACCAAGAATTGACTACACTAAAATGGATGGTGAAAATGTCTAACAGCTATTTGATGAAATAATAAGAATAAAGAAAAGAGCAAATGGCTAGCATGTTGAACCCCTGGGCTCCCACTCACATTCATGGTTCCGTTTATCTCTGCCACCGACTCATCATCTGTAGGAAACTGGTAGATTTGGACCCCGTTGCTGACAAGCTCGCTGGTGATTTTGATTTTGAACTTCGTCAGCTCACTCTTAGAAATGGCGTCTGATTTGGCAATGATGGGGATTATGTTCACCTAGGAAAGGGAAGAGTGGGAACATTGTTGGTAATTTGTAACTGATGGCAGCATGGCTTAGAACTTCCATCAGTTGCCAGTGGGAGAAGCTCAACCCAATGGTCTAGGACTGGCCAGCTCTGTAGCCAAATAATATAATCAATGACAATGAGTGCTTACAAAGTGCTGGGTGCTGAAGTAAGTGCTTTACATAGATTAACACAATCCTGATCATAACCCTCTCAGGAGGTATCATTACCACTCTTTTACCAATGAGAAACTGAGGCATGAAGAGGTTAAATAACTTGTCCAAGGCCACAGAACAGGTAAGTAGCAGAACTGGGATCCAAATCCAAGTTTAGTCTTATTCCTAAGTCCACAATCTTAACCTTGAGCTGTCTACCAGCCCAGATCCAAATTGATGAACTGTGTGATATCTTTATATCAAGGTCACTGCTCTGGTGATTTGAAGCAGAAAGATGAAAGGCTGGAAATCTGTGGTTGACAGGGGGAGAGATGGACACTCCTTGCTAATAATAAACTGTCCCAACTGGTCCAGTGCATGCCAGCCTCAGCCAGGGTGATGGAGATCCACGTGGGATGGTAGGAAGCGGAGACTCAGTGAAGATGCACACTTGGCCCTCTTTCTGGCAGCAAACACTGATAAACCACCCAAGGTAGGTGAAGAAGACCCTCTCAGGTACCAATATGATCGGACATATTAAAAAATAATGCATATAAAATGCCATCACAGTGCCAGGCACCTATAAAACATTAGGGGAAAATGCACTAGCTGCCTGAGGCTCGTGGTTAATTTCTGCATAAAGCAAGCAAGCAGAAATGCCCAATTTCAAACAACAGAAGAAAGGCTTAATGCTCTCCCCAAAATTCAAGCCATCTGAACCCCAATCCTTGAAATTCCTCCAAGAAGGGACAAGGCTTTTACTGCCGGAAGGTAAAAGAAACTTGAAGTGTACGTGGCTTAGTGAAACAGAATGCCCCAAGCTCAGGTTCACATGAAGAGCAAGTCAGTCCTGCCAGCAGCATCCAATGGGGTAGCATGGAGGGTGCTGGGACCCTGAAAGGAGCTCTGGAAGCGGGGCCTGGGACCTTTAGACTTGGAGGACAAATTCTGCCTCCTTTGCACATTGCCTCAGGAGCGCCTCTGAAGGCTATTATCACACAGTGGACCTTGGAGGCACCTCCCTTGAAGTCTTTTTTTGGGAGGGGAGGGGGCCAAAGCCCTTGCCAAGGTGGAACAGCAAGCAGAGCCAATTCTCCTCACCGCCTTTCCTCACACCTCCATCCACACACTATAAATATGCCAAAGACTGCTTACTTAACCTGCCCACTCAGCAGGCCACCAGCTGTGTGGCTCTCCGCTGCCCTATACAGGGCATGCAGGGTGTGGTGGCATTTCTAGAGCAGCCTCTTACTCATGGGCAGTTAGCTCATTGCTGCAAAAAATGAAAAATTGCTTCTAATTTTATTATAGCTGATTTTCAGTTTTTCTAGTGGACGTGCTACCAAATAACTGCACATAAATTATATTTTTGCTAAAACAACAACCTTGGAGTCAGAGAGAGCTCAGTCTGAATTCTCTGTGCCTCCATTTCCTCATGTGTAAAACGGGAATAATAATAGTATACACCACATTGAATAATTAAGTGAAATAAAATAATGTCCATAAAATGCCATCACTGTGTCAGGTGTCTATGAAACATTAGGGAGAAATGCACTAGTAATTAGGTGGTTTTTTTTTGTTTTGTTTTGTTTTTTAAGAATTCCATGGTTAAGTCTTTTGTACAGCAAATAATCCTCTAACATGAAGAATCAATGTCTAATTTATATCTGGAGTGGAATTTGCATTCTTCATTTTCTCTTAAAGTGGGACAAGCCCAGTTCCCGCAGCCATCTGTTCCAGGTATGGAGGCAACGGAATTCAGATCTGTGGCACCATGTTCTGTTGCCCTCATACCTGAAACAGATGGCTGCGTGGTGCCACAGATCTGAATTCCACTCTAGACTCTGCCAATAGCCAACTAAATGACAGTAGGAAGTTACTTAACCTCCCAGAGCCTCGGTTTTCTCCTCTGTAAAATGGGGGATAATGACTGTGTTTGACTCATAGTGTTGTTGTGAGGATTCATTGAGATGCTTCATGAAGTACTTAGCACTATGGTGGCACATGAGAGCTTAACAAATGTTAGCTGCGATTCGAAAAATCAGTATGATAATCAGAATAATAACTTTCAATGTCAAGTTTGCATGTTTGATTTTAGTACAGGTCAATTAACATATGGACAAAGAAAAAACATCTTTCCAAAGTCTGAGCCCCAAGACTGGGACAGCCATCTTGCTTACATGTATCTTTATGCCCAAGAGGGATCAGGGCAGAAAGGTGGCTCAGAGCAAATCTGTGCTTCCTGTTGGGGAAACAGAGGATTTGGCACAGGCTATGGATCAACAGCACCATCTTTATGGAGGGACAGGGAATAAGGGAGAGGATGAAGAGGCCATAAAACCTCTCTTGGAACTCACTGCTACTTTGCATGAAAGACCAACAAGAGTGATCCAGCTTGCCCAGCCTCACCCCTGCCCTCGCTCTGCCTCCATACCTTACTATCCAGCTTCTTCATTGTCATTAGGTCCAGAGACTTCAGGGAATGACCCGTGGGGGCGATGAAGTATAAGCAGACATGGATGCGAGAGTCATGGTAGGTGTGCAGGACCCTGCGGATCTTCAGCTCCTCCTGCAGGTAGGCTTCGAATTGGGCATCGAGAAATTCCACAATGGGCTTGTAGCTAAAGGGGAGAGTAGGGAAATGGCCAGACCACTTCAAAAATGGGGATTTCGATACAGTCCCTTGTAGAAGTTTAAAATGTCCTCGGTAATTGACTCTCCCCATCAAGCTGGATTTCTCTGTCTCCCCTCAGTGCACCTCCAATCTCATCTGGCTGGTCACCTCCTTGATCCTCACATGAACCAATCTTATGCCCATCTGTGCACCTTCGCTCTGAAATGCCCATTTCTCTCTTCTCACCAAAATACTGCCCTTCCAGGCCCCAGGGCCCAGTTGAATGCCCATCTCTTCCATTAAGCCTTCCCCAATTATGCCAAAATCCCTTCTGTGCTGGGTACCCAGTGGTGGCCAGGACCTCTCCCTGACCCTGTTGCTGGGGAATCCCGCCAGAACTCTCTGGGTTTCGCTCAGTATTGCAAGATTCAATGGCGCTCACCACTTGGCTACCCTAAGGTCCAGATATTTTTTCAGTTCCCATTTCCTCCAAGGTTGTGAATTTAAAATCGAAGTATCCCTTGCCAGTTTGGCTCAATGGATAGAGCGAAGGCGAACCTGAGACCCCCAAATCCAATTCCAGCCAAGGGCACATGCCCAGGTTGCAGGTTTGATCCCCACTAGGGGGCGTGCAGGAGGCAGCCAATCAATGATTCCCTCTTATCATTGATGTTTCTATCTCCCCCTCTCCATTCCTCTCTGAAATCAATAAAGAAATATATATATTTAAAAATAAATAAGTAAATAAAATAGAATTGGTCAAATTTTGATAAAGATACTCTCCCCACCACAGCCTTCACAAGTGTACCCCCCCCCCCCCAAGCTCACTGAGTCTCCTCCATATACAGCCCCCTCCCCCCTTGTGGCCCTCAGGTCCTGCCAAGACTTCTTAAACAACAGCTCCCTGTCCTGGGAAGCTTCTCACTTCTCCCTATCTTTCTGCTGGGCCATTCCTGCAGTCAGTCCCTGTGGCCTCTTTCTGCTCTACCTAGGTCAGCTTCACTTCAGCCCTGCCTCTGTTCTCATCTCCCTGTCTCTGCTGTCTCTTCATGTCTCTTCATCTGGGACTAGAAGAGCCCGGGACAGTGAGTCTGCAGATATCACTGCCAGAAGGGATCCTCATCAAAGGAGTGGGCCCAGGCAGCATCTCCTACCTGCAGCAGCCCCCAACCTGAGCCTTTTTGAAAGATCCCCCTTTTAGAGAAGAGAAAATAGCTTTATAAGAAAGAATCACAGCTCTAGATGGTTTGGTTCAGGGGACAGAGCGTCGGCCTGCAGACTGAAGAGTCCTGGGTTTGATTCTGGTCAAGGGCACATGCCCAGGTTGAGAGCTCGATCCCCAGTAGTGGGTGTGCAGGAGGCAGCCAATCAGTGATTCCCATCATTGGTGTCTCTGTCTCTCTCCCTCTTCTCTCTGAAATCAAGAAATATATATTTTTTTAAAAGAAACACAGAATCCTAGATTCTAGGAGTTACATACAGAGGAGAGACCCAGGTGCAGGTTACCTCTAGAGCCCCAGGAAAAAAATCTAAAAATAGAGTCCTTTCTTCCTTTGATCCCTCTGAGCCAAATATTGTTGTGAAGGGTAATAGCATCAAAGAATCTTTTGCTTGCAGAGAACCTTATAAGATTCCTGAAGAATTAGGAGTGAGGGTGCAGGGTGCATCCCTTAGACTCATCTAATTAAATTTTGGGTGATCCGCAGGTTTGAATAATTTAATCATGGCACTACTTCATTTTTTTGTCCATTACATAACTTTTTTTACTTCAGTGTTTTACTCATCAAAAGGGATCAGAGGAGGAAAGAAAAGTGTGCATTTTTTGCTCTCCTCCCCTGAATCTCTGGTGATACCCTGGGCCTATCTTTCTGCTGTTGCCTCTGGCTCTTAGGGTCTCTGAAGGGGTGTATGAATTAGACCAGCCAAACTAGCCAATCAACCAAGAAGACTAAATAGGTGATTCATCTTTGTCTCATCAGTGTTCAGCATGGAATCTGAGATAGAGTAATGGCTCTGCCCCCATTCCCAATAGCTCATCTTCCCATGGTAGTCATCTCTCCCACCCCACTCTGTTGTGCTCACTGGACTTCAGACACGCTAAACAAGATCCTGTACTCCCATAGGCAACCTCTTCACAAAATGCTTCCTTCCTCTAAGTCAGTGGTTCTCAACCTTTCTAATGCTGCGATCCTTTAATACATACAGTTCTTCATGTTGTGGTGACCCCAACCATAAAATTATTTTCTTTGCTACTTCATAACTGTGATTTTGCTACTGTTATGAATTGTAATGTAAATATTTGTGTTTTCTGATGGTCTAAGGGACCCTGCTAGTGGTTCTCAACCTCTGGGTCTCACTCATTTGTGGATAATAAAGAACATTATAATCTGATGAACAAAAAGATAGATACAGAGACAGTAAAGCATCAAACAAATTACAGCGGGAAGGTTAAGGAGAGGTGGAGGAGATAAGAGATCAACAGAAGGACTTGAATACATGCATGTAGGAATAATCAACGGATGCAAAACATTGGGGAGTGAGGGCATGTATGAAAGTGGGGGGGCACATTGGTAAGATATATATACATATAATACCTTAATAAAAGAAAAAAATTAAAATTATATATATATATATATATATATATATATATATAGAGAGAGAGAGAGAGAGAGAGAGAGAGAGAGAGAGAGAGAGCACTTCACAGATAAGAAAAAGCTAAAGGAGTTCATCAGCTGAAACTGGTTTGGCTCAGTGGATAGTGTGTCAGCCTGCGGACTGAAGGGTCCTGGGTTTGATTCCGGTCATGGGCATGTACCTTGGTTGCAGGCACATCCCCAGTAGGAGATGTGTAAGATGCAGCTGATTGATGTTTCTAACTATCCTGCTCCCTTACTCTCTGTAAAAAAAATCCTTAAAATATATTTTTAAAAGAATAGAAGAAAAAGATAAAACATATGAACAATAAAATGGCAATAAATACATACCTATCAACAATAGAATCTAAAAATCAAAATAAATGAACAAGGAATCTTATGAACAAAATAAACAGATGAATAAAATAGAGCCTGAGGCATGGAAACATGGAACAGATGAATCTCAGAGGGAAGAGGGGTGGGCAGGAAGGGATTAACCAAAGATCTTATATGCATATGTGCATTACCCATGGACACAGACAATAGGGAATGGATACCTGGTGAAGGCCTGGGGCAGGGCGGGATCTAGGTGGAGGAGGGCAATGAAAAAGGGAGGACATCTGTAATACTCTCAACACTAAAGATAAAAAAATATATCAGCACAAAAATACTTTATGGCTTTCTGCATGTTTATTTTGAAATTTGATACCTTACTGAACAATTGTTCATTAGAATTGTTTTCCAGTTGATTACCTTGGGTTTGCTAAACAGACATATTATAGAAAAATAATAGTTTTATCACTCAGTGAACACTTCAATTTTCATCTTTCTTGATAATGTTGACGTCCCTTCTTTTTAAGAAAATATTTTTTAAAATATATTTTTATTTATTTCAGAAAGGAAGGGAGAGGGAGTGGGAGAGGGAGAGAGACATCAATGATGACAGAGAATCATTGGTCAGCTACCTCCTGCACACCCCCTACCAGGGACCAAGCCCACAACCCAGGCATGTGCCCTTGACCATAATTGAAACCAGGACCCTTCAGTCTGCAGGCTGATGCTCTATCCACTGAGCCAAAGCAGCTAGGGCACCAATCCCTTCTTGAAATACTGTCCTCTGGCTTGACTGCCACCATTATATCCTACTTCTATAACTCTGCTTTCTCACTTACTTTACCTTGGGCTGTTTTTGAGCTTCCTGGACCCCTTCTGTTGTCCTTCTACACATTACATGTATATTATCCCTGAGTGGTCTCACTTACTCCCATGGTCTCACTTATCATTGTCTTTCTATTACACTTCCTAGACACCTGGACATCATCCTAGTATCCTTCCTCCCCCTTGTGCCAGTTCTCCACCAACAGAGCCATCAGAGGCTCCCTGTTGGAAACCTGCAAGACTTGGTCACAGACACTGTACTTGAATACCACCATTTTAGGCAAAAAAGCCAAGTTACCATAAGGTCAGGTCTTCTAGAGCAATGCCAAAAGTGACAACAGCTAATTCACTCTATTACCATCTTCCAATCACCTCTTCTTCCTTCTACGGTATATGCATCCCTAGTCTTCTCTATCTTCTATGGGTTTGTCCTCCTGTAGCTCTCTTCTTTCAAAAACATTTCCACTGTTCCCTCTGAAATTCCTGTACCATGATAAACAAAATTGCCTACATTTTTGCCACTCACAGCACAAGAGTGTGGTTCTTGGACAAGTAACATTAGTATCATCTGAGAGCTTGTTAAAAATGCAAAATCTTCAGTACCCAACACAGACCTGCAAGATCAGAATTTGTATTTTATTAAAAGCCTCCAAGGTTTGCATACAACATTAAACTGAGAAGTGCTGGCCTATAACACCTGCCTCTTTCTAGAATTTGCCTACTTTTCACCCTTAATCGAAGCCTCATTCTTCCCTGAGGACACCAATACCTGGAAGGGAAGCCTCTTCAATGTAGGAATCCCATTCTCCCACAATTGGTGTATGTTGGGGTCACTAGGATGGGCATTCATGAGGATCCTCAGAACCACTTTTAGACTGTTACTCCTCTACCTCAGTATAAAGCCCTTTCTTCATTTGTGTCCTCTTAAATCTTCTTCTGGTAGCATTGACCCATAGTCTTTCTCCGCATTCTGGGTGATTGCAATGTGCTTTAGATAACCCACCAACCTTCAACCTTTTAATTCCTTAATTGCCTCAACTTCACAACCTTTAGCTCCATCTACTCCAGCCACCTACACACCTTACTAAAGCCATATCACTTTCACCCGACATACTCTCTCTAAAATAATACCCCACTATCTGACCACAACCTCACATTTTTCAAGCTCTCTTTTGCTTACAATCCTCTTGATCCTGATCTTTCACTCCATAGAGTC